TGACTCAACGTCAGTTGTAAATAAAGCTAAGTTTTGCAAGCAGATAATTTACGTTTCATTAAAGCGTCTTGTGCATTAATGTTTGCATAGGGACTTTTTCATTCACGATTACTCGATTTCAAAATCCATTTCATCGCTTATTTTCAAACTCTATGTATTTTCAACACAAGCACAAACAAACAAACAAACAAACAAACAAACGTACGCACGCACGCACACGTAAAATAGACTCTCTACAAATTTCATTAGATTATTCGAAAATTTTTATTATCTCTTAGCGTTACAGCCGTAATAATAATTTATACTATTGCGGTATTTGAGGTTCAAGTAAGTAAATATAATGTCGGTGCTATTGATAAAAAGCTTTTTAAATTGCGTAAACCGTCGTCGATGAAAAATCTATTAGATACTGCAATTTCAATCGCTTATTAATTCCCTCTAAAACATTCACTTTCCGCTCGTCTCATTTTATTACCCTCTGTTATTAAACACAAATCCAGATTGTCAGAATAAAGAAAGTATAAAGAAAGGCTTGAATCTCCGACTAATTCAGAGTTGAAAAAAACCTTGAAAAACTCCTCTCGGTAAAAGGAAGGCAATGGGGGGGGGGGGGGGGGGTTAGTAGTGTCTCTTTTATCTTAACAATTGTATGGCTTATAAATAAGATGAAGAATACGAGTAGATTGCAGAGAGGTAGATTTGGAATGATATTTAAACATAAATGCTCGATTGTCTATATTAATGCGTCGTAAGAGTTGAAATATCCTGGCAATGCATGCGCGCTCGTGCTCACGTGAAATTGTCTGGTTGTAAAGGAACTTACTTTGTTTCGAGGATCAAGTAGATCGTTGCACAGCTGGGTTTTACTTATACCCTTTGAGAAGGACTGTATACACGAATGCTCCCTGCTACTCAATACAGTCATCCTGCAGCACAAATAAATACAGAGTACATTGTCAGTACCGAGAGAAGATATCATTGTTTTTGGCAAATGAATTGAAAATATACGAACGGTATGTGTGCATAGGCGGTTTTTTTAAATTCTCGAATAACTTGTTCAATTTGCTTATGAGTCCGCGAGCTGTAGAATATTCTTGGGATCCGTAGCTTGCTAATTACGTCAATGAAATGTCAAAGCGTTCGTTGCCTCCTTGTCTAATTAAAATTATACTTACACGTTTTCCTTTGGGTTCTTATCATCCTGCAAGCTGGTTATGTACTCCGATAGCGTATCTGCAAGAGGTACAATTCCGTCAACGAGCGCAATTAATTGCGCATAATGCACGCTTTTCTAAATTATTGTGCCATCAATATGTCAGTAAGACATTGGTAGTGGAACAGTGATGCGAAATACCAATATGACAGGCAAGTTGTATGCCCTCGTTACATTTAAATATCGGTGTATTGGGTAATTGGGTGATTGGGGGATTGGAGGATGGGAGAGATAACAGCGCGACTCTTCCTATTTCCTTGAATGACTGGTATTTAGCATAGATCCATGGAATGGTACGCGGAAGTATGGAGCGCGAGGTAAGGGAAAAAAAAAATATCTTCGAGCGACGTCGAGCGATCGATCTCGACCAAATTCTGTGTCTGGATAGCGGGGCGACAGTTACCGGAAACTAGAGGGAGCTGAGAAGATCGTCTAGGAGGCAAAGGAACGAAGAGGGTAATCGACGGGGAGGGGGAGGGGGGGGGGGGGGCTGACTCGTTTGAGAAGACCAACGAAATCGAGGAACGAATTTTTCGTGCACATTTCGGCAATTATTTTATAGACGATAGATCTAAGAGCATTTAAATTCTACTATTAAATAACAATAATACGATAATACAGAGTTTTGCAATTGAACGATATCTCACTATTTAGTCAGATCAGACTCATCTACGCCAAATATAAATGAAATATTGATCATTGTATTGAGCAAATGCTCGGTTGCAATTCAATACCGATAATCTTAATTGGCATTCATTCCGCTAAATTGCTTGCCATTCGGAAATTATCAAAAAAAACATAAAGAGATATATAATTTTGGAGCTTCGCTTTTTGTTTGACGAATTGTCCGATGCGTACGAGCTTGCCTTCAAATATTATCAATATGATGAAATTAGCAAATTTTTATTCCGATATCGGGCTAATGGAGCACTGCAATGTATCGTGGATCAATAAGGAATGTTAATAAGGTATGTTGGCAGAGTAGGGCGGGCTTCACGTTAAAATATAGAGCGGCAGGAGCAAATGTTTTTGATTGAAATTTTCATTACGGTAATTTGTTAATTTGTTAATTACAAGCTTAGTATTGTAACATCATTTACGATTATTCATTATCGTCGTTATGTAAGGGCAGGCAATAATTTAAGAGGTCGTGCACCGTTATTATTACCATTGCATTAGAACTGGGACAGAGAGCGAAGGAACGCGAATTGGAAAACACTTGGGCGAGATAAAACCGAGAGAGCTTTCCCTTCCACAACTGACAAAGTCACACACCGAATAGTTTGGATCGACTTGAGGGCATTTTTACGGATCGATTCTCGTGGGGTCGTCTCGGTGTGTCCTCGAATGTAATCCGCATCGTAGTTAGGACGAGTCAAAGGCCATCGTTGTATGCCTTCGCTTCTTCACGATGACAATGGCCATTCGTAAATATACCTGCCCGCGAGCTGAGGTCTGCCGACAAATTCATCTTCCAATAGTTGAAGGATACGCCGGATTCGTCGATCGTTTGATCAAGGGACGAGTACAAGGGATTGCGATCGGCTATTTAATCGCTACATCGTACGACGGATTAAGCCAATTTAGCCAGGGATCGTGAATTTTTGACGGGCAGCGAATTCTCTCAGCTCAAGTCAATTTAGCTAGTTTAATTGTCAACATTCGGAATATCTGTAATTTTTATACTTTTAAAATTTTATCTTTTCAAAAGTATTGACAATCGTCGACATTTCTTTGCGTTGAAAAATAATTTTAACGACAATAATGTATATATATATATATATATATATATATATATATATATATCTTTTGTTATAAAGTTATAAAGTTTACAGTTATGTTGTACAGTTATAAAGTTATCAAGTCTATGCTTAAACGACAAAATATAAGATTAATAAAATTTAGCAAAGGGCATCTCATACCGACCATATTATCGTTCATTAAAATTTTCAAATAAAATTCAATAACCATTGTGTTATGAAATCTCAATGATTCATACTATCTACAAAATGTCTCGGCAAAGTGTACTTTTTGAGTAAATGGAAACACACACACGCACGCACGCACGCACGCACGCACGCACGCACGCACGCACGCACGTACTTTACATCACATTTTCATAGTCTATGTAATCATTTTATTATTTCTATAACATTATTGTCATTATCATTATTGTTATTGTTATTGTTGTTATTATTATTGTAATTTGGATACAATTGACTTTTTTTAAACAGACTGAAGAACAAAGAAAAGTGAAAAAAAAAAATCTAAATGAGAGGAGAGAAATATTAGGAAAATAAAATATCAGCAATGTATTTTTCAAGCACGTTCCACTCGCATCGTAAACTAATCCGGATAAAAACGTTTCATCCAATTTTCAAAAGGAATTTTTTCATTCGTCCGTGAATACTTGAAGCATATATACGATTTCTTTGTTAACTGAAGTTATACGACTAGAAGGAAAACAGTTAAGACGGCAAAACGAATCTTAATCTCCATTATATTTAAAAGTGAAAATGAAAACTATTTGGTGAAAGCTATCGAGCTTAAAGTGTATCTTTCAATCACCCGTAGGATTATCTTCGCGTTTAGGGGAGTCAGCGGATTTGATAACCGATCTCCTCCTGTGCTCACTTACAGCTTTGCTTTTCCATAAATAATTGAACAATTGCAAGGGATAAATCGAAACTGCTAGACGCGCTTTCATTAGGACTTTGCAGTTTTGTGACAAAAGGACAAAAGCGAGCGGCAGAATTACAACCTTTTCCCCCCCTTTTTATTTCTGTGACGAATAAATACACAAAGGGTGGTTAATAGTCCAGTAATTTATTACAGATCATTAAGCATATTCTACTTCAACATAAAACTCTTTTACATAAAATTCAATTTTTTCTTTCTCCCTAACCATCTTATTATTCCTTACATTGTATTGCAGTTTTAGTAACTTTTAACTTGATTTAATTTTAGCAGATAATATAGGCCGAAATCTATTTTACAAACACGTTGGATTAGCCCTAATTTTTAATATTTTAAATGCGAAAATTCATGTGCATAATGTACGTTCACGAAACAATGTTTCATCATATCATATTAAAAATCACCTTCGTCGAGTGAAAATGTCCAAGTGTCGAACGCACAACTTGATGTGCTGATGGATGGCACATGTGGTAATAAAAGTAATCGCACATTATTAAGATCAACGTACATACAGAAATGAATAGGCTAAAAAGTTAAAATAGTCAGTTGAGCCGTAGAGAATATTTTCCGACCAAAGGAGTTCACGTTATGGAGTCAATTTCTACCTTTTTGCGCTTATCCTTTACTCGAAAGGTTCTTTACTTTACTATCTCTCTCTCTCTCTCTCTCTCTCTCTCTCTCTCTGTGTCTCTCTGTCTCATTCTCTTTATCTCTCTCCGTGGTATAAGCTGCTTACTTAAAGTGGAGGAAAAATAGGAAAAGGAAGCCGATGAATGAAGGTTTGATGGGCCGATAAATGGGTTAGGAAAAAAAAGAAAAAATAGTAAATAATCGCAGTTAATGACATTGGATATTCAAAAAATTAAAGATAATGCATTACATTGCTGTATGAAAGTAATTAGAAAACAATTTTACTTCAATAAATTAAACGCTTTGACTGTTTGTATTAATATTAAGTTTTTGCTGAACAAATAATTATTATTATTTAAATATATCATTATTGCACAATAAGTTTATAATTCTTCACCAAATATCTTGTCTAGTTCTTATTAAATATATGACAACAAAGCAAGGAATCGCGGATAACAATCGTATATTCATGCACAACTAAATAATAGAAATAAAAAAATTGTATGAATTTATGGTGCATAAGTTAAGTTGCCTATTTTTATATTACATTATAATAATTTAAATTATAACAGTTAAATGGTAAAGTTGCACATAAATCATAGAATATATTCTTCATTTATATATTTAATTTCATTTTTTTTTTTTTTATTCATATAAAATGATAAAAGTAAGTGAAATAGTTTTCTATAAAAAAAAAAATATGCTCTAAGGAAAATGAATATTCTTTTTTAAAATTTATAATTGGAAAGCATATATAAGTAACTGAGCGAGGGATATTTTAAGCTAAAGTGATTATTAAATGAAATATTTTCAAAATAGCTTGAGTTTATATTATTCGGCAGTAATTTAAAAGTGAGTAAGTACGTCATGATAAAAAATTACAAAGGAATTATTGGCTCAACGGTACTAACATTATACATTTAACTCATTAGATATATGATAAAGTAGAGGGGCGCAAATGTTTTCGTGCAAGTATCGTGCTCGGTAGTACATTTTTGTACATTCATTTATGAATTATCGAATGATCATTGCGCATATCAACGTCTTCGATGATTATAATTGTTCCGTAGCGATAGTGAACGAGAAACTTAGATGGGGCTATGAGAGGAAATGAGGAAGAAGAAACATGTACAGATTGAACGAGTGAATGAGACTGGGGAGGCACTTGGTTAAAAAGAAGAGAAAAAAAGGAAGAGAAAGGTATGTTAGGAAGGGACGATGATAAGCGCTCTTGAGAGCAACGAGGAGAAAAAAAAGAAAAAAAAAAGATAAAGATGGTCATGGAGCGACGTGCAGAGAAAATCAACAAAGAGAAAAAGAGCACAGAGCGAAGGACAATGACAGGAATAGTTGAATGCATATAAATAGAGATATAGAGCGTTACGGTGATTGAGAGAATGAGTTTCACAGTAAAGTAAGTAGATAAATAAGGAAGGGAGGCAGAGCGTCAAGCTGAACAAGAGAGTGAGAGAGGGAGTGCAATAAGAGGAGAGTCTCGGGATGGTTACACGTTGCTCGGGGTGTTTTACCTCTTCTCTCTCTCTCTCTCTCTCTCTCTCTCTCTCTCTCTCCCTCTGTCTCTCTCATCTGTCTTTTCCTATTTCTCTCTATCTCCTCCACGGATGCCGAAGAGCGAATATGGGACTTTGATTGGCATACAGAGGGTTAAGAAGGACCTCGACGACGGCGAGGT